GAAACAGTAGAACTATGTAAAATGAAAACCTGGAAATTCTGTAAATCACATGATATGACAGCGATTAATCAAATATTCTCATAATGTCGTCCGTAAATATATAAAAACGAACGAGACTGATGTAATGAACATTGTTCACAAGTCTAATGATGCCCATTCAGCAATACACTTTACCATAGGGAAAGAAAGTATTGACAGTATCTCATTCCTTCAAGGCAAGGAAAAAAGATGGCGCACTAAGAAGGAGTGTGTGTAGGAAACCTACAACAACAGGTCAGTAAACTCATATTTTAAAGTTTTATACGTGCGTCGGTGGCACAGTGGTTAGGACTCTCGCCGACTATGCACATGATCCGAGGTCCTGATATCTATGGTTGGCCTGGAAATTTTGGGCTACCGATCTCCATACTGAAAATTCTATACTTGCACCAAAAATACAGTGTGGAATCAAGCTGTAATCAAAAATAAAAAAAGAAATATAGACGTAACCTGGTTCATAGAGCTTAGTTAATCTGTTCAGACGATTGTCTCAATGAATAGCTTATAATTATTAGAGAATTAATTAGGAAAAATGGTTATCCAAATAAGTTGGTTGAGAAAAATATGAATTCAGTATCTAGGAGAGCCAGTCATACAACAATTCCGAAAAAATCAATCTTTATAAAACTGCACTTCCTCGGTGACAACATCAGTGAAATAATAACACAGCGCCTGAAGAATGCAGTTAAAACATTTTATTACACGTCGTCTCTTCACTACCACCACTATTCTACTTTCGAAAAATAAGGATAAGCTACCTGATTTTGCCTCCTCTATGTGTATCTGCCAGTTTAACTGCGGCTGTGGAGTCAGCTATATTGGGCATACAATTCGGTAGGCTCATCATCGTATTTCAGAACATCTTCCAGCACGGTTGAGCAAGGGACAAACAAGATCTATTCGTATCTCTATTTAAGCACATCTTGTAGATAGTGAGCATAAGGTTGACGTGAATACTGCATTTAAAATTATTTATCGCATCCCTACTAATCTTAATTTTGCTTTGTGATTTCATCTTCTTCATACAGCTGAAGGCATAGGAATTTACCTGAAGAAACCAAACCTGTATGTTCAAAAGAAATTTGTACAGCCACAGCACACTGGACTACTTTTCCCCCTTCTCCCAAAAACTTTTGAAAATTATAAAAATTATGATTGTCCAAATTATTTTATTATTTTTCTGACTACTTCGTATTTAATTCCATGTTATCTTTGTTTTCTTTTCCTTCACGTTCCCAGTGGAACATAGGGCTTCAAGCTAGAAGGCTCAAAGTTTCTGTAACAGCGGCGTTTGTTTTTACAGGATGGGGTTGCTAGCCTCATGCCCAACCTTTTCTCTTTACCAGCATTATTTCTAGCTTAGCGAGGTAAAGGAGTGCGTCTGTGGCCGGGAACCGAACCCCGGACCATGTGCATGGTTGGCGAGCGTCCTAACCGCTATACCACCGACGCACAAAAGCCGGCAACACTCCCCGTATTCCCAGCTGGTCACCCATGCAAGTACTAACCGGGCCCAACGTTGCTTAACTTCGGTGATCGGGCGAGAACCGGCGCTTTCAACGTGGTATGGTCGCCAACATAAGATAGTTGGAGGCAATCGTAGGAAGCCTTCGACCTAGGTTTCATGCTAGTTGGCACTCATCAGAGAGGTGTTACTGCAACCCTGGAGGAACTCATGTCCTTTCTGAGATTCGAACCCGCGTCACTCAGCGAGGCTGCAGTCAGAGAGGTTACCACTGAGCTGTTCAGGCTCTTTGTAAAATTATTTTATTTTTATGACCACCTCAGCCATAGTTACAAGTTATCATTGTCCAAATCATATGATTTTATCTAACAATTTGTTACGTAATCAAAATGTGCACACGCTTATTCCTTAATTACCCTTTATTTTTCCAAAATTATGCATAATCCAATCCCCGTGTTGTAAACATTTCTACCCTTCAATTGTGTGTATTAATTTTCTTCGTTAGTTATCACCCCCACTGACTAATATTGTTAATAAACATATCGTCACTTGATTGGTAAATTGTCGTGTATTATAATAAAAATGCTTGATATATTAGAGTAGAGCCAGAGATGAGGATCTAACTGAAAAGTAATTATTCAAGTGTCAGGTTGTAGGGAATTGATTGGTTCACAGGATTTCATCATGAGCTGACATCGATTAAAGAACCATTGGAAAACCTGGGAGTACTGGACAGCTGTTTCGTCCTAGTTTAGGACTCTTCATCAGTACGTATCCACCGGGATTCAAACCCAGGACCTTCTGGTTACAAGGCGAGCTCGTATACCATTGAGCCACTGTGACCCGATCCAACGGCCCATGAATTCTGACTTCTGCCAATTCACGACATAGCGCGACCCCCTAGCGAATGTCTTCGGCGAGTATTTGTCCTCACATCTGACCGGCTAAAAAGTAATTATTTCTTCGCTCACTCCTTCTGAATTCTAAATATATAACTGTAAAGAATCAATTGTCCGGATGACACTTTAAAAGTGTTGAAAACAAAACATATCTCTAGATTCTTCGCACAAATAAACTAGATAGTAAAGGGAATGAAATTCACATTTGAATCGGAAAATGAACAAGGAGAATTAGCCATGTTAAACTGTAAAATAAAACGAACAGAAGAGGGGGAGGCCTACTCATTTTAATAGATATTTAGAGTTAAACTCCCCTCACCCATTATCTGTAAAAGCATGCTTACTTAAATATGCAAAATACTGAGCAGTAACACTAAGCAGTACAAAAACAAACCTAAATTATGAAATAAAACAGATAGAAGAGGTGTTGTTGTTAAACGACCTAACTATCCTATTAAATTCATCAGGAATATAAAAAAAAGGTCAAAATAAAAATATTTGTGAAACTAGTAATAATAACATGAATAAGAAAGAATATGAGGCATCTACAGTAGTTTTATTATATAGGGAGGGGACATCTGAGACCCTATGCAGGATTCTCAATAAATCAGGAATTAAAGTGGCAATCAAACCTACGAACTCACTCAGAGATATGCTCTGTAGGTTAAAGAACCCAGTCGGTTGACTCAATTAAACAAAATGATATAATTTACAAAATAACTTCCAATAACTGTGAGCTAATTCAACTACATAGGTCAAACTAGTAGGTCGGGAGTAGTCAGATTGCCGGTTCCTATAAATGCTATTATCTAGCCAACCATCTTAATTTCGTCCAATATTAGAGCCTGTGAGGGCCAATGCAACTTGTTCGTTTCCTAATCCAGAAGTGAATTTGATTCCGTCTACTATTAAGTTTATATGTGCGAATAAACTGGAGGATGTGTTCAGATTTCAACACAGTGAATTTGACATCTACATAGTAAACATTCTAAGAGTTTTATGTTCGTAACTATCCATAAATATGTCTGCAACTATTAGTTATATTGGTGATCCCATTGCTACCCCTATTCGTTTGTTTATGTAAAGCATTTTGAAATTTACATACAGCAGAGGTTAGAATTAGTAAATAGAGAACTGCAGGTTACTATGGCACTGTGAATCTTCTATTCAGCCTCAAAGGATGCATCTTAGAAATCAAGCAGTTGTTTTTTCAAACTTTTCCAAAATTTATTCGGTTCGGATTACCATCCTTTGATGATGCGCTTTTTTCAACCGCACATAATTGATAGTTAGCCTGTTAAAGGCGGAAAATTGAGTGTACGAGACTAGCAACCTTCCTCTCTCGGAAAAAAAAATAAACAACATAACTACTGAAACTTCAGTGCGGAGGGGGATCTTTTTTCTCCTGTATAAAACCATGGGGTTATGTTCGGTGACACTTTTGGATATCCAAGGGCGGGAAAGGCCAAAATGCTTAGCTCCACATGAGCGGATAAACTGATAGATACACACTGATGAGGCCGTCAGTAGTAGCTCATCCTCATTCACGTTTATGAGAATGATTGGTTTTTCAGAGAAAGCTGAAAGTCAGCCGCGATGAAAGTCGTCTTCAGTGAATAGGATGGGCGGTTTCTCAGTATTTCTGATCATGAGTCTTCATTGAATTGTATATTCAAGTAGAATAGTCTTTTAGGAGCGAAAAGTGTGGGTAGTTTTAGTGATTTAGACTTCATAGATGTTTTGATAAAACATTCTGGGTAACCATTTTCAAAGAGAATTCATTTCATAGTGTTCAGATGCTCTGTAGCTCAGTGAACAGATCACGTATCGTTTTGTATACAGAATCACCTAAATATGAAAGCTACTGAGCTGTCTGTTATGTATTGGCTTTCTGTAGTGTTCCATCTTATTTTTGTCTCGTTAATTTAAACTCCAGAAAATATATTTCTGTATCAGACCCGTTCTCTAAGATGTACTGAATTAAGGGATGACAACTGTTGAAAAAGTCCAGGATGTCCTCCAAATCTTATTCATTATGAGAGATAATGAAAGTATCGCCCATATATCTTTCGTAAAACCCAAAGCTGTCAGTCACTTTCTTTAGGTATGCGCTGTTTTAGCTCTGTCATGAAAAACCTGTTAGCAGTGAGCCTATTCGTGAGCCTATAGCTATATCTTCATTTTGTCAATATATTTTGTTATTGAGGAAGAATTGGACATTTAAAGTGCATCTCAATAGGAGTCCCTTCAAATAGTCAGTGGATATACCAGTATTTCTCCTTTCTAAATCAATGGTTTGGCATATGTAGCAGTAAGTGGGAAGTGAACCCGCTCATGTAGAATTAGGTATGTTGACCGTACTCAAAGTATGCTATCCAAACATGTCATCGAACACTTACCATCATGGTCTTATGAAGGGGAAAAAAATACCCCCACACTGCAGCCACAGTTCTATCCTGAAACACCAAACCAACCGACAAACCAAAGTCAAAGCTCAAAGCTTCACTTGGGCACATAAAAGATTATTATAAAAATAAATGATAGTAATAGTAATAATAATAATAACGCAAAAAATATATACGTATAAATATACTTACTTGGCATTTAATTATTAATTTATTATGCTGATAACCTAGTTTCCTACGTTCTTCATTGTTTGGAAGACTTTCTAAGAAGCCTGCTAATGAGAAGGCTGCACTTGCTGCATTATACTCAGCTTGTTTCTGTTTATAATAATATAAATGCTCTGCATATGCAGCTATATCCAATAGAAATTCTCTCGGTGTTTTCCAACCTTTAATTTGTAAATACTTTAATCCTTCCGGTGAAATTGGTCGAAAGTTACACACAGTTACAGATGGGAATGGACTAGATGCATGCCGGAGAACACGTGGTGGATGAATGACATTATATTCTAAATATTGTCTTGCTAAGAAAAACATACAAGCAAAACATCCTAAGACAAGTATGCATACTAAGCTTAACCATAGCAAGCGTAAATGACGATTATGTGAACGAACTATTCTCGGCAGGCCACGAATTGTTGTATTCTCACAGAAACGTTTTAATTCATCTAAGATGATAACAGAAATATGATCATTTCTTGGCAGGGGTTTACGTTTCTTACGCTTCAGCTTGGATGTGGAAATATGAATTTTGTTTGGAGTGCCTTGTGTTGAGTGTTTCAAGTATAAACGATGTTGGTGATGCTGGTGATGACTGAGATAATTGTTGAGTGATGATGTCTCATCAGTCAGTTCGTTACACTTTTTAATCTCTTGTATGAAAATCCAACATAATGGGCATAATGTATCAGTAGTGTTTCTTTCAGTAATCTCTAAATTTGTATTTTCTTTACTATTGTTATTACTATTATCATTATTATTGTTATCAGACATAGTAAGCGATGAGAAGTGATTATTTTATGGAAATTATTAACCCTTTAAAGGTAATGGAGATATTTATAAGGTTTATTCTAAAACCACTCTTTCTGATTGGTTAATGTAAGTCTATTCTTGATTGGCTGCTCTTCGAAAGAGTGAAATGAGGATACATAACAGGATATTTGTGATATGTGTATTCACGTGGAAAAGTTCTCCTATTAAATACGTATAAATATATATATATATATATATATATATATATGGCTACCTGAAATACTGGAGGAAGTCGGAAGGTCAGTTTCTAAGTATTTTTATTGAACAATACCCAATCGAACACTGATAGACAGAAGACCAGTAGTTCAGCGAAGAGTCTCTTTTAGGCGAGTTCAGTTTCACAGGTGCACAATCACAAATGTATATGGTTGCTTTATATATGTGTGTACATAAAATTTGACAAACGAAAACATAATTAGTAAGTTCAGATGAATTGGATGTTGATATAGGAGGGTAGTGTGACATAAGTGATGAGTTGTCATAAACGATTGTTAAAGAAGAGTTACGTAATAGCATGAATACTTTTAGTGAAAGAGTTGTCCTCAGGGTATACATGGAAACAAAATAAAATACGAAATTACTTAAGAGTTTTAAGTAGGTAGTAAAATAAACATGCAAGCAAAGTTAAGTCAAATCAACAAAGTTGTTACCATGATAGTAAAAGTGGTTGAATAATTTTCTTTTGTAAGCACAGTTCTGCTTCTTCAAACTGAATGGCTAGGGCTTCCGCAATGCAAGGAAGATGCAAGCGTATTGTCTTTGGCAGTTTGTTCTTCGCTTTGTAGGTTACTTTGAAGCAGAAGGCATTTGTTGAGATGAAATGATCAGTGTTGATGCGATGTTAGATTAATGCACTCCTTATACAGCCACTACTTCCTTTCTGCAGCCATACTGGATAGTGTTCTTTAACCCTTTTTGATAGGATGTGTATCGAATGACCGATGTACTATGCCTCCTTCTTATATCAGCATCCAATTCATCCGAACTTACTTAGTGTATTTTCGTTTGGCAAATTTAATGTACACACACATACAAAACAACCATTTATATATATATATATATGCGGTTGTACAGCAATGATAATGAATTCGCCAAGAAGACACTCTTTGCTGAACTATTGGTTTTATAGGAAGTATTTCACTGATGATACATTTCAATAGTATAAACGGTATTAAATATTTTAATGTCTCAGATAATACCGTACTCTTTTTAGATTTGTCGTCATTATCCACTTATGAACATCTTACAGAAGTCTTCGGCTACGCATGCGACTATCTTGTTGTACATAGTTTAGACACAGTGATGACACTACGATAGAATCCCCAATATTTTCACTGTTGGATGGTCATTTTATAACAAAGCTTAGTCAACTTAGACAAGCCATCAGTCGTTTTTATATTTCTAGCCGACACGTATATGACACTTTCATTATCTAAGATAAGGATGTATTAATTGATGAAATCTTGTTTACATTCAACAAATACCATCCTTCTTTCGAATTTTTTACTACCGAAAAGGTGTCTGAACTAAGCATTCCTTTTCTTCATGTAAGTATTAGTAGATGTAATAACAGATCTGTTTAAGATCCATACACTGAAAACATCCATGAAATGGGAAACTAACTAACTCTCCTTGTCGGAGAAGTCTAATTCATTCCCTCTGCCTCACAATATGAAGCATTTGTAGTTTTGATTTCTTGGTTTGAGGTTTATATCATCAGCTGACATCAGCTACAGAGCCACTGGAAAACAAGCTGCGAATACCGAACAGCCTAGTTTGAAACGCCTCATCCATACGCACCCAAGTCCACAATTTCAAGCCCAGAAACGTCTGGTTACAAGGCGAGCTGGATCTAAGACCTACAAACCACTGAGATCCGATCCAATGGACAGCCAGTCCATGAGTTCTAATTTCTGCCAATTCTCGATATAGCGCGACCACTTAACAATGTCTTTGATGAGGAACTGTCCTATCTTTCGACCTACTGTACTGTCTTCCCACTAGAAACAGAGGTAACTGCGTGAATAGGGCCAGCTGTGATTTCGCTGACTCAGAAATTCTCTCCCTTAAAGCTAATTTTGCAGAAAATGATAACACGAACTGATTATTTGGAAGAAATACGAGAGATAAGCGAACCAAACTGATCAGTGATTCAGTTACATAGAAAACAATATTCATACATTTGGATTTCAAAGATGAAAAGGCCTTGGATATACTCAAACGTCGTCTTACTAAATCAGTCAGTCAGACTTTCTTTGCTGGAAAACTACGAATGGCCTTCACCAGCCGGAGGTTATGAGCACTAATTTGTGCTCTGAACATCATCAGTAAACACTACTGTACAACGCTGTGTAATTTTATCAAAATAAAATTTTATCCATAATGGGGTTATTCTCCATCTTTATAAAGATAAGCCTGCCCATCTATCTACCTCTATGTGCACCCATCAGTTCACCTGTTCTTGCATAGCGGTGAACATTGGCCATAGTCAGAGAATGCTTTCCATGCAGAAACGAGAACATGTTCCAGTACGGTTTTATATGGGAGAAAGCAGAGTTGCGTTAATCTCTATTCTAGAATACTTGATCGACCTCTATCACACTACCGACCCTGATCATTATGCTCCAGAAAGCACTTCATGAAAACTGTTTATAACACGCTACAGACATTCATCAGGAGCTAACCCTAACTCTGGCTGCTTTCTGACGACTGAATAATTGGAAGGGATAAGCAGCAGGTAAGTCCAGGGACAAAGCAGCCGAGAAACTATTCCTAACAAACAAGTGGAAGAAAATGAAGATATCTAAGTGTTGGTTTGCAAGGATTTGATTGGTTTCAAGATTTCATCATGAACTGACATTGGTTAGAGGACAGTTAGAAAACCTTGGAGTACTGGACAGCTGATTCATCAGTACATACCCACTTTCACAGTCTGAACTCAGGACCTCCTGGTTACAAGGCTAACAAACCGGTAGATTATTAAGCCAATGGGTGTAAGGAAAAACCCACGCCGATGTAATTCGCTAGTTCTCGCGCCACATTGGGGACTGATAGGAGTTGGAATACATGGGCTGGCCATTGGATTGATTCCCAGTGGCTTGATGACCTACAAGACAGCATTGTACCAAGGAAGTCCTCGTTTCAAACCGTAAAGATGGGTGCGTGCTGATGAAGAGCCCTAAACTAGGATGAGGTAGCTGTCTTGTACCCGCAGGTATTTTTCAAATGGTCCTCCAACCAGTGTCAGTTCACAATGAAATCCTGGAAATGAGGATGAATTGGATATGTGCCCAGGAGACTATTGAATGATATCACACACCCAGGCCCTTACTGATCCCCTAACCGGGAGCAACGAACTGCGCTGGGATGCAATGGTGGCAAGGAGGAGATGATAGCCTATACGAAATCAGCAAGCCAGCTAAATACAACTGAAGAAAAGAGAGTGAATTGAAGATATGAATTTTAAGTCCAGTATTCCACTTAGAACGTGGGGGAATTATAATAATGATGATAATAATATAGGAATGAAAGAATGTCTGGAAACTAACGCAATCAGTAATTTTGCATATTTCTGTATCATATTTTTAGATTATTTAGTGACCACTGAAGTCGGCATGAAAACTTGAATCGCATTACAATTCAAATTAATAGTCTCATCGTCTTATCTTTAACACTGCACACCCTGTGTGGAATGAAATAAAGACATGCTAACTTTGTGGAAAAAAAAGTTGCGCTAATATACGAGGAAAAGGTGACGTAGAACCCGTGCATACTGGTGATTAGTAATGCTCACTAATCAGATCAAATTGGTATGAGTTAAAGACACCCTGTTTCAGTTGTTTATGATAGCGTAGATTTTGAAACGCAGATTAAACAGCCCTGTTATAAAAAACAGTTGTTTGATGGTAGAGTAATAATGGATTATAGATAAGAATTTATTTCGATAAATCACACAGTGTTGTTGTACAGTAAGTAATATTAACTTATTACAACGTTTCGAGCACAATCCATCACAGCTCATAATCATATCAACTCAGTCACACAACTTTCTTTCTTCATTTATATACACATGGGTGAAATCGATGATTAGGCATTCGAATAAAAGTCAACTAATATAGGATATTGTACATTCAGAAATAATCATATGACTGTTATCAATCAAATACAATCAGATGGGAAATAAGACGAGTGTTTTTTATGGTCAAAATAAGGAACTTGTTAGAATGTTGTGTTGTACGTGAATCGAAATATAACTGTAAGATTATTTATTATCCTCCTCTGATTTCACTGACTAAATGGTGGTAATAATATCTTCCATATTTATGGTATTTGCATGCAGTCATTTTTGTTGCATGTGTTATTTTGGGTGTAGACTCACTAATCAACGTATCTGTGCATTTACCTATATTACTTCTTAGTATTTAAAGCCTATCCTACCCAGCCTGTCGTGTGGTTGTGTTTTAATGCACGCAGTACAGTATAGGGCTGAGCTTTTTCCTGAATTAATTATCTTCGCGGAGTCATCCATTCTTATCTTAGTTAAATTTCTTATGTTCCGATAATCTTACTACACCTAACTTACTAGTTCGACCTATGTGGTTCATCTAACTCACAGTCATTGCAAGGTATTTTCTAAATTACATTAATTTATTGAATTGAGTCCACCAGGTCCTTTGGCTTGCAAACTTGTCTGTGACTGAATTTGTGGGTTTGAATGCCACTCTAATTCCTGCTTTATTGAGAAGCCTACGTAGGGTCTCAAATATCCCCACCTTATATGGTAAAACTGTGGATTCCTGATATTCTCCCTTATTTATGTTTTTATTATTAGTTTCCCCATTACTTTTATTCTCCTTTTGACCTTTTCTCATCTCCTTAATGAATTTTATCAAAAGGTTAGTTATTTAACATCATCACTTCTTCTACCTGTTTCATTTCATCATTTAGGTCTTTTCTTGTACTACGTAATGATATTGCTCGGTTTGTT